TCAACAGTGTCTGCATACACGCAAGGGGATACAACTTAGAAAAGCAAGTCAAGACGGTGGGTACTCAGTTACATTTACTTGAGTAACTTTTAAAAGAAATTGTACTTTTCTAGCAGCATACTTTTAATCCTACTTATTTTTAGTGAAGTGAAGTGCAGTACTCTTGCTTGAGTAAGTTATAACGTGGTCTGGTTTGGTCTCTATGAAGAAAGGCTTAATACCATACTGTGAATCATTCCAGACAAAGCAATAACTTCTCCATGGAGAAAAGCATTTAATGGACAAGTTTTGATTATTCTCCCCACTGTGAGTATGTCTCCAAGTGACTAAAGCTTTATGCTGGCAATATGAAATTATTTGAACATTTGTGTTTCTTGCACTGCTCCTTCAGACATGATTTTTGATTGTCTCATTTTTGTGTTTATCCTTCGAATATAGCAGATTGTGTGCATTATTTCTCATTATCCTTCCAATTATACTATTTTTATATAAATGATCCCAACAGTTACTCTTTAAGTTACTCCCAAATGCTTTTTTAACTTTTACTTCTTAATTTCTTGGACCACTACTTTGTACTTCTACTACATATTCATTTGAAGTAACATTGCTCTAACATACAATTTTAGACACTCTACCCACGTCTTCAAGTCAAAGCTAATCATTTAACCTATATTAACTTAAGATTATAGCTCGCAAACCTTGTCATCAGATCTCTCCAAAACAGGTAATTTGACCTTTCCGCACTAATATCTAATTTCAGTAATTTCACTCATTCACAGCAGGGCTACAATCTGGCCTTTTAGCGCAACTTCATTTTATGTCATTTTTCCCCTCCAAATTTATGAATGGTTTAATTAGAGCAATCTATTACACTGGGACTGACAGAGCCTTGCGATTTCAATCAAAAAGGTGAAATTAAAATCCATTAATTTTACTCAGGCCTTTTAAGCGATTAGACCAGAGACAAATAGTGTAGCGGTGATTAGGGTGCTGTAAGAGGTGATTTCAGCCAAGCGGGATTATTATGGAAAACTAAGCACAAATGTTGGAGAAAAGGTCAAACTCATTACAGTGAATGGGCAGGTGGCTTGTTGCAGTGGCATACTTGCTATTATGGTAATCGTCCATTGTGTTATGTGTGTGAGAGCATTGTTGAAAATTAGCTGTCAATCAAGTCGGGAATGCTTTTTGGAGAGAATTATTCAAATGGTAGTTTTAGCTGCTGTAGCCTATTTATCAGAGGTGGGTAGTAGAAATTGTACTGTTTTTCTAGCAAAATACTTACTTGAGTTAAATATTTATTGAAGTAACAGTGCTCTTGAGTAGAAGTTTTGGTTATATGAGTAGTCTAAATTGGGCAAAACAATATGAAATGATCTGAACGTTTGTTTTTCTTGCACCGTTCCTTCAGATGTAATGCAGTATAATAATTTTTGTGCATTACTTAAAGGTGCATTGTGTAACTTTTCTGGTAGAGGGTTCGTCAAATACTTTTCTCCATGGAGATGTTATTGCTTTGTCTAGAATGTTTCACAGTAAGGTATGAAACTTTTCGAACTTCATGGAGATCAAACCAGACCACGTAACAAGTCAGATCTGTGAAGAGGCAACCCCGCTCACAGTCAGAATGCCTGTTTTTCTAGGTGTTGTTGAGATACAAAACCAGCTATAATTTAAGAAATGATAAATACTTAATTTTATGGACCACTACTTTGTACTTCTACTTGAGTAATATTACATCTTACTGTTATTTGCATACAATTTGTAGCTATTCCCACCTCAGGCATTTATTCATGCATTTTGACAAGTGAAAGATGTGTGAAGGCAACATGGTGAGACAGAGAGAGGTGACAGACGGAACAATGAATGGATGGAAATGGATAGTGTTAGCAGTGTGTCATTGTGTTTGCATGGTGCTCACATCCGCGCGCTAGAACTTCTGTCAAGTCTGCCGTGGCTTGACCTTTTCACTCGGAGCACGTTTACAGCTCGGCAATACCTATCAAAATGTGTCTCTCTCTCTGCCCCAGCATAAATGCGAGGAGGTTTTCTGTGTCCTATCTCATCTGTACTTTCTACACTATTTTATTTTGACATAGATGTGTTTGTGACTAGAAAATAAACAATGCCCTTGCTGTTCGTTCAGTATTCAGTATACAGTATGTGTCTCAAGGGAGTGGGTGACAATTTAAAGGTGCATTGTGTAACTTTTCTGATAGAGGGACCGTCAAATGCTTATTGCTTTGTCTGACATGTTTCATAGTATGGCATTAAATCTTTCTATCTCCATGGAAACAAACCAGATCAAGTTACAGAACTGTTTTTCTAGGTATTTTTGAGAGCTGCTTAATGTCATACTGTGGAACATTCCAGGCAAAGCAAGGACATATCCATAGAAACAAGCAGGTGACCAACCCCCCCAACCAAAAATTTACACAATGCACCTTTAAGCCAGTGGCTGTGTTTTACATGCAAATACAAAATTGATATGATCATTATCAGACTACTGAAATGTTACATAAACAGCGATGGTTACATGAACACTCAAAATCTGATCACATCTTTGGAGTTAGAGGATTATTTAAAGGTCCTATATTATACTAAACTGACACTTGTTCAAAAAAAAAATACCTGGAGTTTTGTTTTGTTTCATTCACACTAACTCTACATTATTAGTCTCTCTACATCTCCAAAACTCAACTCAAATGCTCTGTGCACCTTGTGATGTGAAGTGGTAGTTTTCAATTTCAACAGCTCTTTCTACCTTTAGTTCAGTAGAGATGGGCATTTGGAAAACTTGATTGTTATTTGATTTAGAGAGTTATCTAAATGTTCCAAGTAAAATGAACAATGCAGCCCTGTAGTTCAATTTACTGAAGTCACTATTTATTCTGTCCATATGCCGCTCTGCACTCAGCTGTTATTGCACATAATAGTGTTGAAGCATTGCATTTTTGCTGTACCTACACAATGTTGTTCTGTTAGATACAAGTCTTTTCAGCAGAATTAAATACTAAATCAACTTTTTGCTACCAAACTGTAAACATGTTTTGATAGTATTTTTCCTAGTCAATGAGGAATGTAATTTTAGCGCAAACTAAATGTATTTGCAGTAGTGATTATCCAAATTTTTTAGATCTGTTCAAAGAGTCGTTCAAAACACTGGCTCTTTTGATATTTATTTATATGACACCAATGTGCGAACTCATTTTATCTACAAACTACTAACAGAAATGACAAAGGTTCAGATTTCCTTAAAATGGTTCAAAATGAATGCGTGTGTGTTTACACTTTGAAATAACGCGAGACCTAAATAAAATGTACTAAAATGCACTACAATACTAATAATTGATAACAAAAACAAAAATGGTTAAGATGCCAAATATGTTTTGAGTACAAAGCTGTCACCTGTGTTGCCTACTTTGCTTCTATGCTGATGCGTCCCCCCGACACTCTCTTTAGTCTTCCAAGTATTGCCCACATTAGAAGATCTAGTTGAAATGTGGATGTTGGAAGAGTTTAGTCCTACTTTAATAGTTATATAAAAGTACTGCATATTATTTTTTCATGAAATTGCGTATCATACTGGACATTTGTCATAACAAGGTCAAAGTCAAGGTTTACAGTATTTATATAGCCCATTTAAAAACAGACAGTACTGCCCCAAAGTGATTTACAACAGATAAAAACAAAATATGGGTAAAACACAGATAAGAGGCTCTGTAAAAAAAGTGTGATTTAAAACTCTCCAGAGATGAAGCTGCTCAGATATTTAAAGGGCCCATGGTACGTGATTTTCTGATCTGTTATAGTACTGTTTTCTCATCAAAAACATTCCTGGAGTTTTGTTTTATTCACACATTTCGTCGCTGTGTCCTTAAGCAAAGCACTTCACCCACATTGCCTAGTATGAAAGTAGTGTGTGAGTGAGTGATAGTGGTGGTCGGAGGGGCCGATGTCGCAGATTGGCAGCCTCGTTTCCATCAGTCTGCCCCAGGGCTGCTGTGGCCACAATAGTAGTTTACCACCACCAGGTCTGGAGTGAATGAATAATGCTCTGTAAAGCATCTTTGAGTGTCCAGAAAAGCGCTATATAAAACTGATGCATTATTATTTTTTATTTATTTTTTATTAACATGCAACCCCTGCATATTTAGGCTGAGTTTTTCTCTCAAACAGAAAACACTCTGTCCTACCTTGTGATATCATGTCATAATACAGGAAGTGCTCCACTGTGTTGTTAAACTCCATACACCTTCACTAAAATCATTTGGACGATTTGAGACCTGGAATTGCCAATCTCTACTGGACTAAAAATGAAAGCTGAACCTACTGTTTCATGACATTGCAAGGTGTAACAGAGTATTTTGAGCTTTAGAGATGTAGAAAGACTAATGATAAAGGGTTGCTCAAACACGAGTGAATGAAAGAAAACACAACTCCGGGTATGTTTTTTGAAGAGGTATCAACATTCTAACATGACTTAAAGCTCACAATAATCCATTGTATAATGTATGACTTCAACAAACAAGTAGCATTTAGGGTTTTAGTCTATTAATTGGTCGATGGGCTGACTCTTAGTAGATTAAAATTTGGATTAGTCAACTTTTTTTTTAAGGATTTACACGGAACAGCAGAAATGTTAGTGAGACAGTGAGTAATCTGAAGATGTGGTACGTTTTTAATAAATACATTTTCATATAAATACATTGTTTCCTAATAGTTTTTTTCGCATATGTTAGTTTTTACATGAACTCCTGTGCAGGTGTAGTCTTGTGGGATGCAGTTTGTGTCCGACACACAGAGATACACAATATTATTGAGAGCTTTTGCCCCGCCCATTTTTAGTCGAATAATCGTTGGCAGGACAATTTTTTTGTCAACCATGAATTTCCATAGTCAGCTACAGTTTTAAATAGCACTGCAAACCACTTCTTCCCATGTAAATAAACACCAGCAGTCTACTCACAAAGCTGTTTTTGTCTTCCCAGTTTTCAGTCATGGAGTTGATGTGGCTGTACTTTGCTTGTCAGTACCTCCTCTTCATCGGAGTCTTCGCCTGCAGCGGTCGCTTGTGCCTCAGGGTGCATAAGACCGGTTCTGTGTCTGACATCCACCAGGGCAGCCAGCTCTCCAAGCCCTGGTCTGTGTCCAACTGTCTGCGCCTCACCCTGGGTCTGGTGGGAGCTCTAGGTGGCGCTGTGGAGCTCCCGGTCACTGTTATTCTAAACAAGCGTAATCCCACCTGCATGTACACGTGTATCACTTTGGTCTGTGGCCCACTGATCATTCGACACTTCACAATGTTCCTGCTGATGCTCTTGTCTCTGGATGATCATCTGCTCTACATTTTGGCTCATAGGTAAGAATTTCTAGCTGTTTTTTTTACTTACAAGTGGCGTATGAGAATTTTGTCATACAGTCATAATATTAACTCCATCCACTGCCTCAGTGTAATTCAAATATTCACAATAATGTTAATGTTATTGATTGAAGAATGCAAATTCAACCAGGAGTGCTCCTAGACTGGCAAGTTTTTGAAAAAGATTGTGCTGAAATTCTCTTTCCTCTGCCTACATATAACAAAAATGTTCACAGTAATTCTAAAATTATTGATTGAAAAAGCAAATATAACCAACAGAATTGTATGTGCTGTGTGTGGCAAGTTTTTGAAATTGTGCAGAAGAAAAAAAAAGCATAAGTTTTCATTTATTTTGTCTCTTCGTGGAGAAATGTGGCTCGAAGCAAGAGTCAGTATCATTAATATACTGACATGACATAACCAAAGAAAAACAAGTAGAACTGGACAATATGCAGTCACTTCACACATCAGCACACTCAGTCCATGTTGTTAATACATTTTATGGACTGGGGTACAAACAAGTTGCCAAAAGTGTTAAACAAATTCCATGTATGTGCTTTACCGAAGGCACTCACTGCCATCTCAGACCTTGTTATTTGGGCCAGTGTCATTAAAAGTATAATACTCCCTACAATGAAACTGTAGCCAGACTGGACTGCACAACACTACCATAATGTCAACTCTCATGCTATTACAATGTATTCTACAACAAAAAGGGCACTCATAATTTCATGTCCGTTTTGAATGCTGTAAAGAATAAACAACTGCTATTTAAGAGTACTTTGCCTTATTTGTAAAAATAGTTGGTGAAGCCCTTGTGATTATGAGCCCTTGATCTCATTTTCCTCTAAGATTATTCTTGCTCTTGCACACTGACAAAACACCAGGATTAGGTGTCTTTTGCAGATTCAAGTGTGATTAATAATTACATTGTGAATTACACATTTCTATAGCCTATACAGCTTTCATTATGTAAGCGTGTGGGAGGTGGGACAATAGGTGGCAAAGTCAAGCAATGTTCCATTCAATAACTGAAGAGAGACAACCAAAGAGCAGGAGAAAGAATGATATCATTACATTACAGTATGTATACAACTGAAAATTAATTGATTTCTTATGATATGATTAGAAAAAAATAGTCAGTGTCACAAAGGGGGTCATGAATATTGCAATAGTTCTCACAACAAGTAGACCATAAGAAAATAACTGGCTTTCAAAGTACCACCAGATGCAAACGAGAACAGAAACAGGACCGTAGCAGGTCTAAATTAAGACTAAAAATGGTGTACAGTGAACTAAACCATGGCGATACCAGTCTTCCAGTAAAGGTAGTCCTGACCAAGCCTATAGCAACAATATCATAGAAATGGATTCCCACACACCTTTACCAGAATCATATGAATTGCCAATATCTACTAAAGAAAAGGTCAAAGGTGAGCAGAGCATTTGGAGCTTTGGAAGACCGACTAATAATAAAAGTTTTCTCAGTGTGAATGAAACAAAACACATCTCCGGGTGTCTTATAACATTATAGCACGGCTTAAAGCTCACATGGCTCAATTTTACATAATAGGACCTATAAAAACAATCTTTCAACATTTCCTTGAACCACATTTTAATCAATATTCACAAAAAAATCAATAGCAACACAACAAAATGTCATACAAAGAATTCACATTGGCATATTGTGGGTGGTAGCCTAAATCATATCATTATTGTACCAAAAATAAGTGTAACAACAACTACCTTATTCTCATGCTGATCAGGCTGTCAGTAATAATACCCATCTATTTTCAGCAAAATTAACACAATTGAAAAGTATTCTGTCGAGACATGAAAATATCATGGGTCAGAAAATGTGATCCCAAAATGACTTTAATGGCTAAATGCACGGGGCTATTATCTCACTGAGCAGCGGGCGGCGGGTCCCTGCGGGGCATCAGGCTTAATACTTATTTCTTACTAAGCCTATCATTTAGCTAAATTGGCCGTTTTTCTTGTCAGTTTAATTCCTGTGATGTATTATTGACAGGCAAGGTCACAGAATAATAAAACAGCAAACAAGCGCATTCTGTTGTTTGTTGCTGGTTATATAATGGCTGCAAAACAGATGAGACATACATATATCTATATGTTACACAATGGATTGAATATTTACCCCTGAATTAAAACATCTTTGGTCCAAGTGAAAGCAGGGGCACATCGATCATTTTAATTAAGGCAAAAAAATTAGAGAATGTTTAATGTTATACTTTGGAACATTCCAGACAAAACAGTTGTGTCATATGTAGTTCTAGCATTCAAGAAGGATTAAAATTCAGGTGTAGGGACAAAAGGAATTGTATGATTTCAACTGTGAAATAGCAGGAGTTCTGTCCTGGTGGTTTATGACTAATATCACAATTAGGCTCTATTCATATGAAACAAAAAACTGGCACAATGTCTTTTGTATTTGCAGAAACAAACTCAGGTTAAAATATATATTTTGACAGCCTCAAAAAATGGTGACATTACTCCAGCATAAACTCTTGTCAGTTAAAAGGGCTTTGGACCATACATTTTACTGTAGTGAGTTTGTGGACCCGGACTCTAACAAATAATACTCTGGCTATAACTCTGGTAGAGTTATACAGGACCCTGCCTGCCAGTGAAAAATATGACCCATCAAATATTATCATCAAGTTATAGAACGCATGAATCCAATCTATCACATCTCCATGGAGATGAGGAGGAGGCGGACCCTCTACCAGAAAATATCATGATTATAATATAATGATCAGATTGTTTGTCTGACTGCATATTTCATAACTGTGCTCAGCAGTCGGACCATACTCAAACTCCTTGAATGTAGATTTTTCTTCTTTTTTGCATCTGTAAGTTGTTGTTTTCCACCAAACTGAGAGACATTTTTGCATCTTATTTTGTATTTGCACTGTTGTTTGAGCTGTGGGAGAGCTTTAGTCGCTCATGTGTGAATTTCCATCTGCACTTCAATTTTCTCTTGCCTTCTTCTTCCTGTGCATTCAGATACTCGGCCGTGGTGACCCGGCGGAGTGCCCTGTGTGCGGTGCTGCTGAGCTGGGTGGCCTCCATCTTGTCCTCCTTCGCCCAGTTCATTGGCTCGGACATCCTTCACACCTGGAGGGGCAATGGAGGATACGGGGGGTCAGAGGGTATCAATACTGACACAACCGGTCTTGGACTTGGAGACAATTTGACCACAGCGTTACCAATAACTACCCACAATCCAAAGCCTCAAAATGTCAAGGTTATCGGAACATTCTTGCCTTACGGTGGTTTCCTATCAAAGTTCTATGTGGAAGATATGCACAATTTCACATACGCTCAACTCCATAGCAGTCACTGGGGGGTGTGCTCTCCTGACACACTTTTGAGTCTGAACTTTTTAGTCTACGTCTACGGCATCACCGTATTTCTGCTTCCGTTGGTTTGCCTGCTAGGTATTTATTTGAATCTTCTCTGCATGAAACCAAAACAAACCGAAGAATTAGCCAAAAGCTCTTTCTCACAGTTGCGTTTTCTGTCCATATCAATCTTCCTCCTTGTCATCCTCTGCGCCCCCATCCACATCATCCACTCCCTGGCATTATATTCCCCCAAAACAGCAGTCCCCGTCTGGGTGCACAGGGCCGCGTCGTACCTCTTCCAGGCATACAGCGTAGTGCCCCAAGTTCTCTTCACTCCTCCGAAGAAACGAGCAAGCAGGGTTAGGGAGGCTTTCTCTCTCTCCTCACGCCAACCCCCCCTCGCTCCCGTCGATGCCACCGGAGGCAAGGCGGTGCTGCGTGGAGCGGTGCAGGCGGCTCAGTGGGCCTCAGCCAAAAACGCCCTCAAAGCTAAAATCTGCCCCCATGTGTGATTTAGACAAGCGAGCACGACTGGAGCTAAGAACATTTCGGCAGTTGGTAAACTAAGTGAGGGTGTTGGGGGAGTTTAGGGAAATTGAATGGTTTTTCAAATTTTAAACGAATATAAAACAATATATTTTCAGTGCAATTTGACAGAAACTGAGATAGGCTTTCTCCAGGCTGGGTCAGATGTTATTGCCAAAAACACATTTCCAGTAACACACACACCAAGATGGATTCTTGCGATATTTGTGAGTTCACAAACTCACGGGAATCCATCTTGGCATGGGCCCGCTGTATTGGGTGGACAGACCAAGGAGAAGCATTGATGTTTGTGTGGAAGCCAAACCAAAGTCATTTAAGTTCCTTTATACAGCATGGACAAACGAGAACCATATCAATAAACTATTTCACTTATTAAAAGGTCCAATATATACTGTAGCTTTGAGCCATGTTAGAATGTTGTTATTGCCTCAAAAACATACCTGGAGTTGTGTTTTGATTCATTCACACGTTTGAGTAACCTTTTATTATTAGTCTATGTACATCTCCAAAGCTCTAAATGCTCTGTTCTATCTATATCATGAAGCTCTAGTTGCACCTTTTGTTCATCTTTTGTTCAATTCCAGTGTGCAGTTTAAAAACACAGTGGGGCACTTTCTGTAATACTACATGACATCACAAGGTGCAACAGTGTTTTCAGTTTGAGAGAAGATCTCAACCTAAAAACACAGTGTTTGTGTGTTAGACACATGTGAATGAAAGAAAACACAACTCCAGGTATGTTTTCAATAAGGAAACAACATTATAACATAGATCAGAAAATAGTGTAATATGGGCACTTTAAGTAAAAAATAAATAAAAATAGCATACTTGTTGTGTTGCACTAATTTGCATTTTCACTGTTGCTTTTGTATTTACTTCTCTTGTATTTGCGTCGAATCCCCTTAGAGTTCTCTTGAGCCTTGTGGGCCTCTGTAGTTTTATGTAAACATGCCATGTAAGTAAGTCATGGATCCAAGAAGACCAATAAAACAAATATATATTCTTGTTTGTGGTTGACTTTTGGACTAATCAGATGCTGCGTTCCCTGATGCACACATTATGAATAACTCACAAATGAAAAGGCCAGTTAATTATCAGGTCCCACACCAAATGTCAGAGAGAAAATGAAGTCTCCTGATGGTGACTTTTTCCCATTGAACAGATGCTATGTCTTTCTATAGCTCTACTAATCCAAGCCATTGTTAAACCAATAATACAAACATATGGTCTTAATTACCACATTACAGAAAAGAAAAATGGCTGCAAATACTGCCATCTATATTTGAAAAAGTTTTAATCATATCTAGCAGACTGCAAAAAGTAATATGTAGGTAAGTTTAAATTATTCAAGAATATTTAACTTGATTTGAGTAGATTTCACTTAAAGGTGCACTGTGCAACTTTTCTGATGGACGGTCTGCAAGCTACTAGTCTCCATGGAGATGTTATTGCTTTGCTCCATTGTTCCATGGCATGACATTAAATCAATTTAATTTCTCTCCAGTGACTAGGTCAGGAATCAAAATACAATGGCTGGTACAATGGTTCGCAAAAACCCCGGAAGTGCAAGGTCAGGCACCAGCCAATCAGCGAAAAGCCATATATTCAGTGTTGTCAACGATTCCCTAGATCGAAGATTTAAAGTCGGAATAAAGAAAATGTTTGGTGAATTTTATCAAGGGGAAAGACGTTATTGCCCTTCTTCCTATGGGATTTGGGAAAAGCTTAATATAACAGTTAGCCCTGTTAGAGGAGCATTATATACGACCAAATAACAGTGAGTGGTTAAATGAAACAAGTACCCGCCTACCGTCGAGCGAATGAATTCCAACGCTGCAAGGTCAGAAGGTTTCTACGAAGTGAAACCGGTTGATGAATCACGCTAATTAAATCTATCCATCTAGCATTTATTCATTAGGGGTGTTTCTATTGCTCAAGAGTAATTCCTGGAGTACAGGGGTGACTCTCCATAGATCTGAATTGTAATATAGAGTAGTGCTGTAATCTGCTTGTCTCCTTCATGATAGATAAATTTAATCTGTACTGTGGAACATTCTAGACAAAGCAATAATATTTCCATGGAGACAAGGAGGTGGCGGACTGACTTTTAACAGCGATTTATCTTTTTGCAGCCCAGTTTGGTATCACTGGTTGTCAGATGGTGTATAATTTTACTAGAACATGGGCCTTGTTACTACCTATTGATACTTTGCAGCTGATATCATCAACATTCCACTACTCTGTTCGAAGCTCCGTTACTCAAGTTAAACTTATTCTGAGCTTTATTTTAATAACTTGACTTAGTTGGAACTACAGCAGGTGAGATAATTTGTGTGCTTATACAAGTCTCTCACCTGTAAAATTACAGTCACTCTAGCTGCAGTTTTTCATTCATCACTCTCAGCTTTTTTGTTGAAAATCAAACTCCCAAACAGGACCGTGAACGCTCGTATCGATCACAGGCTGCTCAAAATGTGTTGTTTAAATCCATTTTGTATTTCTTCTCCTGATGAAAACTGTTTTTTTCTAACGTGTGCATTGTGTCATCCTATCACTGAACATTAGAGATACATGCAATACAACCTCAGCATGATGTCACTGCAAAGTATAACCTGCAAGTTTATTCTAAGATTTTGCATTTGGATTTTTGTTCTTTTTAAGAAATAATGAGGTGTGAAAATGGGTTGTGCTTTTTCTCTTCCCACTCAAGAAAATTTGTACTACAGGAAATTTTAGAAAGTAAGAGTTGATTCTTTGTTGTATTCTGAACTTTTGAAGTGAAACCCTTCAGATTTTTTGTTACAGATTTTCATCAAAAACCTTATGGATCGGAAAAAGCGCCAACATCAAAGAAATAATTAACCTGTTAAAACCACAACAGTGTTGGCGGCTTTGATTAAACTTGTAAATACAATGGCTCATAAAAGGGTGCTGCTCATTCTAATTGGATTGTTCATTGCGGCGCGCGGCAGAAATCTCCATTCACATAAAACAGTCAGCACTTTTTACAATCCGCCTCTCCATATGAGCACAGCTCTCACACAGCTCTCACACAGCTCTGCAGCGTACATTTGTGTTTGTGGATCGTTTTACTGCAAATCACATATCCATTGTCTGCTGGCGTTCAAACTACTCTGCATCTCTCCTCAGCTCTCTCTCTTTTCTCATTGTGCCAGATGGAGAAGAGTTCATTATATTGTCACGAGAAGGACTGTAAATTGAAAACGCAAAAAGCTCAGAGTTTTGGAGTCTTTGAAGTTACCTGCAAATCCAAGTAATCAGAGGACATTTTATCCTGGAAAATATTGTGTTTTTGACCTAAGGCCTACGTCTAGAAGTTTGCATTTTACCCAGACTACATTCAGTCTTTGAAAATAGTTTTTGAAACTTTGTATATGGGAAGATAACTTAGGCAAGAGTTTAGCCAATTAACTATTAGTAAACGTCTGACTTTTAACTTCTTATACTCAGATATTTCCCTTTTGTCCTAAATGCTCTCTTATTTAACTGGGAAGGCAGCCAGATCATTTGTTTGATTACAGGAGTGTCAGGACCATGGTGCATGTCTAATTTTGGGACTTTCCAATCACAGCTCATTTGTAGCACTCTCAAATATCCTGGAAACATTCATAATGAAACATTTTATCAGTTACAGAGTTAAGTGCTTTGCTCTTTGGTTTCACAGAAATCTGGAAATGGGGATTGACAAAGAGGCCTAAATAACTGTGGCAGGAATACAATTCAATTCTCCTGTCTGGACACACATTTACATTTAAAAATCTTAGTAAACATAAATCGTTCTTGATTCTACACAGTTGGTATCTGATGGAAATGGTTGTCTTTAACTTAATGATGTTTACCAGTGGTAGGATATACTGACAAAAACAGAGACCAAACACCACTAGGCCCAGGTCTACAGGGTTAAAAATATGTGCCGTCTCATTTTAGGCACTTAAAATAATGCCCCTTAAGACTACTCTATTTTCACCCCTTTGAATCTCAAATTTACCCTCAGTTTGAACTGCACCCTGGCCTGAAAACAACACATTGCAATTTTTTTAAATCGTCTAAAACCAAAATGAAACTTTATCTGCTGTTTTCAAGGACCACATGAATACTACTGTGGGTGTAAAGCAAATCTTACAAAATACACAAAAAAAATCTTTCTCTCTTTGAAAACCATTTCATAAAATACTGATTGAAAAACACACCTTTTATTCTGGCCTGGTTCACAGCTCCCTATTCAAACAGCCATCTGCCTGAACGCTCTGCACTTCCTGATTATGTCTGGGTTGTGCTCGCACTGTCACCTCAATCAATGCCTCCACTGCTGTCCACTCCTCCGAGCCCGGTCCAGGAGTCATACTACAAGCACAAGTGTCCCTGTCACGCCTGGATTCTGACGCGTTTAATCCACCGTGAAAGCTCCACCAACTCCTCCTGTTGACTTGGGCTAATACAAGTGAAGAATGGCTATCATAAAAGGTCATAAACTCTGGATTACGTTATATAAAGCCCCTGCGCACTGTTAATATACGAGACATGTGTTATTCATAGACTTTTTGCCGTTTATTGTTTCGATTATGCTAGGCTATGATCATCGTGTGACGTAAAGGAGCAGGAAGCTAGTAGCCGTCTGGGGTCTTATTTTTCCTCTAAATGTCTATTGATTTGGTAATAATGCGGCGCGGTGATCAGTGCGCGGTGTCATTATGGCGAGCGCTAACAGGTGAACGGATCATTTTTATGGTCCGCTAATGGCTGCTTTCTCAGGACGCACTGGAGCGAGGGATATTAGCCGCTACACGCAAAGTTGGTTAAATCAAAGTTGAAGGTGTTTGTGGAAAATGCAACCACAAAAGTGTGTGTAGCAGACCACCACCTGATGTTAATGTTAAACCAAGACTTAAAGGTGCATTGTGTAACTTTTCTGGTGGAAGGCCCGTCAAATACTTGTCTCCTTGGAAATGTTATTGTTTTGTCTGAAATATTTCTCTGTATGTTATTGAACCTTTCTCTCTTGATGGAGACCAAATCAGACCAAGTTGCAGGTCAGATCTGTGGAGAATGTTGTTTTTCTAGGTAGTTTGAGCTATTAAACAACCTGTAACTGAATCCATAATAATAATAATAATGCATTTGTCTTATATAGCGCTTTTCCAGATGCTCAAAGTTACTTCAATTTGGTGCATTATTCATTTATTCTATACCCAGTGGTGGTAAGCTACTATTGTAGCCACAGCTGTCCTGAGGCAGACTGATGGAAGCGATGCTTTCAATGTGCGCCATCAGCCCCTTTGATCACCATCATCACTCACACTAACGCCACTTTCATACTAGGCAATGTGGGTGAAGTGTCTTTCCTAAGATTACAACGGCAGTTTTTTTTTTTTTACCACTGGCACCCCACTATGGCACCTGCTTTTCCCAATAGTCTCCCCAAGTTCTACCCAGGCCCAGCCCTGCTGAGCTTCTGACATCTAATGAGATCAGGCTTTGACAAGGAGGTTTGGCTACAGGCAAGGTAGAACTGTTTAAAGGGACAGTTTTGGACATAGGGCCTCATTCCATAGTGAGCCAGAGTGATGACGACATGTGGAGACACTTTTTAAAAAATCCATCCAGTCCTTGTATTTGCAGCGGTCGCTGGTGCTAGGCTAGTGCATGTCAATGGCCATAGTTAGCCTGCCACTAAAAACAGTCTTACCTCTGCAAATACATGGACTGGATGTAGTAATTAAAAAAAGTGTCTCCACATGTCTCCAACACTCTGGCTCACTAAGAAATGAGGCCCTATGTCCAAAATTCTGAACTGTCCCTTTAATGTCATACTGTGGAACATTCCAAAGTGATGACATTTCCATAGAAAAGAGCAGGTGACGGACCCCTAACCAAAGAGTTACATAGTGCACCTTTAAATTGTGTAAGTATGCTAGCATTAACAAAACAGTCATGGCTAAGGGCTAGCATTTTATTCGAGGTAAATTCAGTTATTAAAGTTGAATGACCATTAGAAAGTCAAACTAGAGACACAAGAATTCAGGGAGGGATTGATGAATAACTTAAACATGACAAAACATTTCTTCCTTATATATTCCTTATCTCCACAAAAAGTTACAAATTTAAACACTACATATTAGATAGCCAAGATACACAAGAGAACATGAGCGAGAGAGAAGAAGGTGAAGTGTTTATTCGTGCGTTGTTGAACCCTAGATGGCACCTGTCTGTGAACATGTGTAGTGTTACACTCAAACCTAACATCTATTATTATTATTATTATTATTATTATTTTGGGACTTCTAATTAAAAGAGAGACTGCAAAAATACCATTTGTGAACGATGATGAATCATAATTAATTAAGTTCATTTTCAATATAGTAGCACAATAGCACCACTCATGAAAGTTTGCAAATGAACTTTTCAAATATCACAATTTAGTTTATTTTTATTTGGGGTAATCTGTTCATTGTTGACAACTGGCCTTCAGATATATTTTCCCAAACTCACAATACAATACAAATAAAACCACTTACCTGTCTTTTCTTGTAGGGTACGAAACCTTATCCAGCATGCTTTCATGGTGTGTCCTCAGTGCTCTTCTGTATTTTCTTTACTGACCTCTAGTGGTTGGAGTTTGAATTATCCCAACAAATCAAGTCAAAATGAGAGAGTCATAAAAATCTGTCATACACACTTTAAAGGAGCACCGTGCAGCTTTTCTGATGAAGGGTCTGCCATCGAGAGAAGCTGATGTTCCACAGTATGGCTTTAAATAAATATATCTTGTATCTATTCATTTAAAAGTTCTTATTTCTCAAAACTACAGTAACTTGGAATTGTCTCCGTAGTGCATCTTTAAGTTTCATTGCTAATCTTATGTTGCTATTGCATCAACAAACCAACCCTTGTAAATAACGCAAGAAAACTAAACAAAACAAACAAACAAAAAACAATAATGAGAGATATTAAACTTGATGTACTTCACTGCACATTTTCATTTTGAACCGTGGTCTAGAGTTGGAGAAAACTTCCTTTGTTTGCAACTTGTTTGAAGGCCATCTACTTTATTTAGGCATAGACAAGTGTCTCTTTGTGCTTTATTACATTGCTCAGAGCGGACTTGATAAGAGCTGCTCGCGAAGCTTCCTTTATCATAAACTAAAGATATGTCTCCTGCTCTGACTCTGTGTGTTTTGTTTGTTAGTGTGGATTCATGCTAGCGGTGTCAGAGGAGTCCATTACTTTGATTGCCGTTTGACAATTCTTCTTTATGACTGGCGAGCTGGAGCCTCCCATCGACTGAAGAGAAGCATATCGATCCATTTGGGGCGACCTCCAGGTTTGCGAGGCTGCCTCAGATGGACATGTTGAGTGCTTCCAGACATATTCGTCCATTGATTGTGTGGAAGTTAATGGCACACTCATATTTTGGGCGTACATCATGGTCTGTGTTAGCTACAGCGATCATTCATTTGGCTTTCGTGTCGAATATCTCTTTGTGTACTGTGTAACTTTACTGACGTGTGACATTTGTCTCAAACACTTGTTGCTTTGCCTGTAATGTTACATGGTATGGCATTAATAAGCATTCATTCAATAAGAGACGTATTTATTGTTAAAGGGCCCTATTATGCAATTTTCTATAATGTTGTTTCCCCATCACAAACATGCCTAGAGTTGTGTTTTGTACAATTCACAAGTTTAACACACAAATCCTGCATATTTAAGCATAGTTCTTCTCTCAAACTGAAACAATCTATCCCACTTTCTGATGTCACGTTAATAAAGAAAGTGCTTTACTGTGTTTTTAAACTCCATGCACCTTCACTAGAATCATTTGATTTCAGCCCTGGAATTGGCAATATCTACTTTTCTAGCTTTTAACATGAAAACTACCACTTCTTGACATCACAAGGTGGAACGGAGCATTTCAAGCTTTGGAGATGTAGACAGAGTAATAATAAAAAGTTACTCAAACATGTGTGAATGAAAGAAAACACAACTTCAGGTATGTTTTTGAGGAGGTAACAACGGTCTAACAGCTTAAAGTTCACACTCACACGTAGTTAACTATGGGTCATATAGATCCTCATATGTAATATAGTCCTATAGGACCTTGGAAAAACATTAATTCTTACCGTGAGCAGGGTCACCTCTTCACAACATGTAAGTTGGCATAGTGGTGTAACCTTCTTATCTTCTTGTCCTCCTTTTCTAAAAGATTTTCTGCCCCAAAGCCTTTGTGGGACAGAACAGTTGAATTGTGGAGAGAGAGGGACAGAGGGAGAGAGAGAGGGAGTATGTTCAGCAAACAGTCGTGGCTGAAGGCTAATCCACATTGTCCAGGTGGTACCCACATGTGTGCAACTAAACCTCTACACCCCCGGCAAGTACAGGACACTATTAGGTTTAATGGCATACTCTGGAACATTCAAACCAATGGCATATCCATGAAGACAAGCAGGTGGCAGACCTCCCACCTGAAAAGTTGCACAGTGAGCTTTCAAGTATGAGTAAACCTATCCATTAATTTTCTTCTGCTAATCCAGGGCTGGGTTGCCAAGAGGAATAGGGTCTGTAAAATGTGCTCAATATACAGTACTGTTTTTATTTTCTACTTTAACATTGGCTCTTCCTGAATGGGTGAGTTGAGTAGGCAATGTTCCACCGCAAATAGAAAGGCTGTTGGCTCTAAATGAAAGATTTGCTGAATGGCAATAAAGACATCATTCATCTTAAAAAAAAGTGCAAGCTTTTTGTTTTCTTTTAAATAGTGTGTGATAGATCGTTTGGTGAAGTATTGCTTTACAGTACAGGTGAGGATTGATTAATAGTAAGTAGTCATTTGTTGTGGATGCGGAGCAAGGCTGTATGAGAGCCTAAAGCATGATTTCTCATTCCTTAAAGATCCTACATTACACCAAACTGACAGTTGTGAGCATTAAACCATATTAGAATGTTGTTATCTCTTGAAAAACATACCCAAAGTTGTATTTTCTTTCATTCATGCATGTTTGAATCTAGTGAAAGAGTCTAGTGTATGGAAAATAAAAACATAGGAGCACTTCCTGTATTACATGACATCACAAGGTGGAACAGAATGTTTTTGTGTGTGTTTGAGAGAAGGAATCAGCATAAATATGCAAAAACAAAACTCCAGGTATGTTTGTGATGAGGAAACAACATTATAACATAGATCAGAACATAGTGTAATATGGGCCCTTCAAATAGATAAATGACACCTAGAAGATTCACAAGATTATTATATTACTTCCACTCTACCCACCTTCCATTACATATCACATTTTTTAATCTGAAAATTTAATAAATATATAGGCCTTTACACAAAGAAAATATAAGCGATATAGAGTAAGCAACAATTTAATCATAACATGTCTAATTATCTTGTTACTTTCAGTACTTAACTTATCACATTAATTAAATGAATTAAGAGGCAGCTCCCATACTGGCATCTGTTTTGTTTATGTATTCTGCGAGGTGTTTCTGTCTGAAGTGGCTTATAGGCTGCCCTCATCTCAATCCTCCTATAACTCCCCTATTCCCCATCGATCTCATCACATGCTCCATCTCCTGTTTTGATTTCTCCGGATCTCCACAACAGCACCTGCTAATTACGCCATAAACACACACACGCACACGCCGGTCCCCGGGGTTATTTTTCAAATCTTTTTTATTTTGTCGTGCTTTGTATCTTTCCCCTATAAAGAAATAGTTAGCTATATATCAACAATGACACATGGACTTGGAAAAAACGAAAGAATTAAGTGAGAGACAGGAGAAGAGACGACTAGGCACAGGAGACCAAGAGAGAGAGATAGACAGAGAGAGAGAAAGAGTGAAGGAATAGGAAAAAGAGTGGCAAAAGACAGCTAGTATTTCTCTACATTTCAACCAAAAACAAACCATGAGAAGTGTACATTTCATTAACATTTACAATAATATAATAAGAACAACGTCAATAATAATAACAGTAACAACAATCAGAATTGCTCCAAATAAAATAATTAAAAAATCAATAAGACCTCTGCTTTCTCAAAGACAAATGAAGATAGATTTTTTTGTACTTTTCACGTTTTTCTTTAAAGATCACTGGACAGTAGTTTGTTCGGCATCGCGCCACTATTGGCTAATATTCTGTTAGTATAGTTGCTTCATAATGCATCAATATTAAACTGTGTTCTTAAAAGTTTTAATTTAACGTTGTTCATTTTTATACAAATAATTCAGAGATATGTATACTGTCAATGTGTGTATGTGAGTGTGTATGGGAGCGTTCAGGTAAAACCGCCATCATTTTTGTCATTCTTTGCCTTCGCTAGCGCAGCCTTTGCCCTTCTTATAAGACTTTGAACTCTTTTGATCCTCTTAATGACATTCAGAAATAATTACGCTCGTCTTTAATGCCTCCGTAGTCGTGTTCTTCTTTTCTTCTTCTTCGTCGTGAACGTCGCTGCGTGGCTAATCCGCTCATTATTAGGAGCCAACAAAAGGAGAAGAGGCGCGAGAACAGGCGGGGAGCTAAAAAGTGAGGGGAGAGGATGGTAACAGGTGAATCAGAGAATCGAAAGGTCTACCCCGAACAGAAAACTTGCTAAAAGCTGACGTTTTATTTTTTTTTCACAAATTACTACCGCGGCGCCCAGAGGAGACTGCAAAACGGCGCGGTTAGCTAGTTCATCGAGTGTGGATCCATTCCGGGACTCTTGTTGGAAAATTACACTGCGAAGTCGAGAAGCTATGGCAATTTTCGAGAAATTTCAATTTTCTTGTGCTGAGTGCTCAATAGCTGCTGGGCAAGCCCTTGGTCTTGCTCCCTTCTGTATTCTTCTCTCTATCTGCCATTCAACTTTTCTGCAATACAAGCTTTCTCTAGGCGTAGAATTACAACTGAGATCTGCGTCTAATTCCCTCTTGCACCTTTGTAGCAGATCTTGACTTCTTTGTGCACGCTTCTCTCCATCAAAATAATCACGCCATTTGCGGTTTGAGGTTTCACCCCATTCTCTCCCGCTCTCTTTTCAATTTCAGTTCTTACAGCGTATGGCGAGTTTTTAACGCCCGCTCGCTCTATGGACTCCTCTTTTCTCTGTCTTTCTGTGGGTCGGTGGTGGAGGATGGCGTGGAATGGTGCGGACGATCGGCTGTGTGCGATATCGGCGTACAGTCTGTTTCGAAAAGGCTTCCTCTTGTGTCGGTACAAGTGTGTGTGGTGTTCTTGTTTATACTGTATAAGGGGGTCGTCGGGGAGGGTGGGGGGAGTGGGAGGAGGTCACGAGAGAGAGAGAGGGGGGTATCGGAGGAAGGAGGAGGAGGAGGGGCCCGGGTAAAGGGGGCGGGGCTACAGCAGGTACTCTTTCTTGCCCTGGCTGGCGTCGTTCCCGTTGAGAAAGGCCTCCTGCACCTCGCCGTGCTCGTCCAATCCGCTGGCCTCGTGGGTGAGATAGGAACCTAGCAGATAGAGAGATAGACAGACAGATAGATAGATAGAGAGAGAGAGAAGGGGAGAGGGGAGGGAGGTTAGGCGGAGCAACGTGAAGCATTATCTGACCAATCAGGGCTGAGATTACTGAGCATCATACCAGTGACGGATTAATTCATTAGTCAACAGATAGTTAGGTCAGTACCAAGCGAGGATAGGCTCACGGGTTCGATATGAGCCTACCAGCGGAAGTTAAAGGTTTTGGGATGGATAGAGTAAACGTAAAGAGGAGACAGAAGAGAAGGAAAAGAAAAAAAGAAAAGATTGTCAAAAAGGAACGGCGGGAATGTTAAGATTCAGTCTCTACTAAAAGACTAAACACCTAAACTCCTCCCAAAAAAAAACAAACAAACATTTGAAATAAAGCAGCTAACATGGGCAGGATCTGTAGGACTAAAAGGGAGAGTAAGGTGAGAGGAGGGGTCTGGAGGTACAGGAACAGTGTGATTGGTCTAACAGGTATCCACACTTCAAACTCATCAGATAAATCTTGTGTGATGTCACATAGTACTTGAAATTGCAGTGGTTAATGGAGCCAGCACACATTCAGTTTTTTACAATTTTTGACCAGAAAGCTGCACATTTGAACTGAATCTGCCAAAAAAGGAATAGACAATACCATTAAAGCACCATATACGGGGTTTAGTAGCAAAAATGTTGATTTAGTTTATGTTATTAGGTTCTTTTCTCAGACCAAAAGTTTGTTTACATACTTGACAGTTTCGACTGCTCACTAGCGGTCTTCCTCAGAGTGGTCACGTGATGTTGCTGTGACGTGTCTGGTCAGCTGATTTAAAAAGGTTTCAGCGCTGTCCTCCTACCGATGGAGGCAGGACCGAATTCCTCAGGACAGTATCCCAGGTGTGTGAGAGTAAAAAAGCCCCCTCGTTCCGGTTCACAGTCCCGTGGGCACGTTTCCCCATTTCGATTGCCTCTTTAATCCATCGACGGTGTTTGTTTTCCTCTGTCCCAATGATGTTTGCTCCGTCCCAGTCCTTAATATGGTTCTCTCTTTAACAGTGGTCAGAGATGGCCAATTTGAGTCCTGTTCTGCTTTGTGTTTTGTTGCTCGTGTGCACACCTTCGCTGCTTCCTTCTCACATTCTGTTTCATGTTCTTTTTTTCATATATTGAACACTCTCCATGTTTCCCCGATGTATGCTCTATTGGAGGACATGCAGAGTATTTCGTATATGACATGACTGGTGTGTTCATATTGTGTTATCTCATTGCCCTCTGCACTTTTTCTGTTATGCCCCTGGTGTACAGCAATGTTACCAAGCCTGTGCTCTTTTTCAGTTTTATTTTTGTTTTTCTGCTTCTGTTTTCCTTCTCTCTAACCTTTGTTTATTGCCCATTTTGGGTATTGGGATTGCCTCAGAGTGTTGTGAATGTGTCTGTCTTCTTCCTGTTTGTCTTGTTTGTCTGTTATAATGTTGGTTCTGTCAAATAATGTTCTTACAACGGAGAGTTTGTGGGCTGTGGGATGTTCCGATGTTCATAAGAGATACTGGTCAATGTGAGTTGATTTTCTGTGTATCGTTGAAACTGTCAGGCGTGAAAACAAACTCTTGGTCTGAAAAAAGAACCTAATAACATAAATTATCGGAAGACCAAATGAACCTCATTGGACTATGTTTATTTAGTGTTTAAAACATAAATAGTAATGGATATGGAAAAGAGATACCAGTCTTGAGTTGAGCACAGAGGTCCAATCTAAGAAGCTGTTCTGTGTGAAAAAGCAGAGGGCCCAGTGGACTTGCTGCCAGTCTGGTGTTTTATGCCTTATGCAAATAAAGTTGGAGGTCTGTGTGAGCTCAGGGGCCACAGTGAACGATTGACCTTCAGACCAGCCTTGTACAGACGGCCTCATACTGCCAGAGTCACAGCCAGAGTCTGATGGTTCAGTGGAACTCTATCTGACAACTGTATGCATTTCCTGAACATTTAAAGGCCCTGTACCCTTTCTTTTTGGATGGATTTGAGCAAAATTGGTCTTGCCCCAATACAGACATAATGTATAAGCAGATCCTGAGGTGAAAATAAGTCCACTTTTTGCTGTCTGCCCTGATAATAAGGAAGTGTATGTTAGTATTCTAGTAATTGTTAGCTTTACTATAACTGCAAAACTCCACTCTTGTCCTTATAAGTTCATTGCAGTGATGGATGCTCAGAATGCATAAGGTAAGGGGGAACCACAGCAAAGCGTTTAAAATGAACTAGTTCTATTTTTCATGTTTTTAAGATGGTAAAAATTAGAAACAGCCTCTAACTAACCAGAGCAATACTCTACTTTATTAACCCGCTTGTCAAAAGTTAAGTGAAGGTTATTTTAATTTCTTGGAGCAGTGTAAACCCCAGCACTTCATCCATAGCCCTGAGCGGTGTGAGTGAAGATCGTGGTCACTCATAAGGAAATGTGAGTGGAGCTCTGTCAGTGTCTGGCCTCCGTGCGTCCCTGGGGAGCTGTTCTGGGCATATCCACTTGGATGCAGGACACGCTGGAGGGCATGTCTCTTGTTTGGCACGGGAAAGGGAAGTCTAGGCATCCTTCCTTCAACAGAGCTTCTACCCAAAAAGCCAAAGAAAATAGACAGTTTTTGACTGCTTTATTCAGATTAGGGGCCCGTATGTAGGACACAACTAACTACATAAAATAAATTATATTGTGAATGTTATGCTTCATGAAAACATCACAAGGAGCCCATCTAGTCCAGGATAATAAAAAATACACTGCTAAATACTATATACTATACTATTTTGTGTTTCTTTTTTCTCTTAGCGGTGTGCATATGATTCATAATAGCTTTCAGAGGTGTGTAGGGTAGCCACAAATTGTACTTAAGTAAGATTAATATTACTTCAAACTAGGGATGGGCATGATTAGTCGATTAATCGATAATTGATCATTAAGAACTTCATTAATTACGTTCATTTTAATTGACAAACCGAATGTAAGTTGCTGTGCGTAGACCAAACAGGGGTCCAGACATGTAGCTCTCTGCACTCAGAAGGAGCGAACAGACACAGACAGTCGGTCAGCCTGCAACATGCCGAAGCGAAAATGCGTATTTAACGATGATTTGTACAAGAAATTCCACGCTTTCCATTGCGGTCGGGACAAGTGGGAGGCCATGTGCACAAAGCAGCACATATGTTTTGGTGTCCAGTAGGAAAAAGCTTTGCCAGGTGAGAGTAGCGCAATGTCGATGACGAGGCCCCACCTCCCACCGCCCGTACGGTGTCCTGGTTTTGACAAACGCAAATATGGTCACACTAACCCGTATTCCACTGAGTCGTGCCGCATCAGCGCACTAGAGCTGTTTTTTTCTTCGCTTAATTTATGCAAATTAGCCATGCAGTTTTAAGTTTCGTTTCTGTGAGAGTTGCGCAAAGCTGCATTAAACACATTATAATCTCAAACAGGCTGATGTGGCTCTGGAGCAGTTACGGTTTATATGTCGTAAAGTTGAATTTATTTATGCAGATTAGTGGTGCAGATAGTAATAATAATGATGATAAATTTTAATATTAAAAAGGTTAATGATTCATTGTTAAATGGATCGTTAATTCTCCCGACGATCGATTAAGAACATTTAATCGAATGCCCATCCCTACTTCACACTACAAAGGACAAAGTAGTGGTCCAAGAAATTACTCAAGTAAGAGTAACTTAAAGAGTAATTTTTGAAGCGCTGCACATGATTTGTAATTGCATTTAAAGATGTAATTGGAAGGATAAAATATTGAATAATGCAGAAAATCTGTTATTTTCAAAAGTTAAACTGCATTATATCTCAAGAAACACATGTTCAATTAATTATTTTTTGTCAATATAAAGTTTTTGTCACTTGTAGACTTACTCATAGTGGGAAGAGTAACTCAAACTTTTACTGAAGCTGCTAGAAAAGAACTGTGAAAAGTACAATTTCTTGAAAAACAAGTAAACTACCCACTGAATGGTTACAGAAGTCAATAGTCTGTTACAAAAGAAGTTATGTATGTTAGTGAAAGACTGCATGCACTTCCAACCTTGAGTTCTTTCCTTTTGTACCGTGACCAAGCATTGTTATATTAAAACTGTCAACAAAGAATGCAATGGCAATACGCTCTGAGAAAGCCATTACAGGACTTCAGTGACTCTCCCGCCAAAGTCACTGGTATGATTAATTCTTTGTTGTGGCAAGTCACTGACCTACTGGAGAGTCCCCTTCACTCCACTGCACAGACTGACACAGCATCAGGCGGAGGGCAGAGTTTGACTGGCACGCTGACACTCAAACCCAGCTAAAGACAGAACCCCCCTGGCCCCGTCTCCGCTCTGATTGGTTATAATAGTCCTGACTTTGGAGTTGATTGGCGGTCCGGTCGTACCCAATGTTTGACTGACAGCTTGTCTCAAATGTGAGTACTGTTGGGAAGAGTACTTTGACAATGTATTTTAGTTACAAAATACTGAATATCTGTATTGAAATGTATTCTGTTATATCAGACATATTCAACTCGTGGCCCACGGTCCAAATTAAGGCCTCCAGTTCATTTTATCTGGCCCATGAGCCATCTCCAAAATGTTAATGTGTTCCCTTGTTTACTGGTTAATTCTGAGTTATTTCTGGTTTTGAGCTAGTTTAATTCTTGGTTGGTTCTGGTTTAGACCTGGTTTAATTCTGAGTTAGTTCTGGTTTAGTCTTGGTTTCGAGCTGGTTTAATTTTGAGTTAGATCTGGATTAGTCTTGGTTTCAAGCTGGTCTAATTCTTGATTGGTTCTGGTTTAGTCCTAGTTTAGACCTGGTTTTAATTCTGAGTTAGTTCTGGTTTAGTCTTGGTTTTGAGCTGGTTTAATTCTCAGTTGGTTCTGGTTTAGTCCTGGTTTAGACCTGGTTTAATTCTTCGTTGGTTCTGGTTTAGACCTGGTTTAATTCTCGGTTGGTTCTGGTTTAGTCCTAGTTTAGACCTGATTTAATTCTGATTTATTTCTGGTTTAGTCTTGGTTTCAAGCTGGTCTACTTCTTGGCTGGTTCTGGTTTAGTCTTAGTTTAGACCTGGTTGGTACTAGTCTAGTTTAATTCTAGATCAGTACGGGTTTTAGAATTTGGCAGAGCAATGTTGGTGAAGCCTTTTGCATTTTATTTTCCACTAAAATCAAATATAACTGGTGGTAGATCTATTTTTTTGTGTGATCTCAAATTGTGTTAAAATTAGTGGCAGGTCATGCACATATCCATCACAGAAGCCATGGTTGTGTGTTACGTGGTCCAATCTGAGTACTTAAAATACTTTCACTTTAAGTTGCATTATATTATAGTGTAAAAATAAGACATGATTAAAACAACTTAAGGTTCATTGCATCATTTCTTATGCATTTATTTCTTACTGATTAAAGAAGGAAAAATCTCACACGCACTGTACTTAAGATCCACTCTTAGTCTCTTTTTATTTAGCTTGATGTATATTAACACTTTTTATTTATTATTTTTATTTATGATTTACTATCTTTTTAATATATCTGTGCACCCCTTTGGAAACTGCCATGTTTTTAGTTGGATTGGATTTCAAAATTGGTATTCCAAATATGTATTTTTTCTGAATTATTATTATTTAGTTACTTCCCCACATTGACCGGAGCATAAGTAATAAGCTTCCTGCAGTATCCATGTTTAGATTTAAGTTCTTGGCAGCTTTAGTACTCGGATCGAAAGAGTGCCAACGCAAAAGCCACTTAAAAAGATAGGGAACTCCGAAGGCTGACTTGTTTTAATAGATGGGCCTTGATACACTAACATGGAGTCGTAAAACATGGTCACCACACCTAGCGTCCCAGCCCCGCCCCCTCCCCACCCCCTCAGCACTAGGCGGGCCAAGGTCATTGATCATGGACAGTGGCAGGGCATCCTGTTCTTCTGTCTCTCCGCTTCTGCCAGTTTTACACCACCATTTAAAAGATTATTTTGGACGATTGCGGTTGCGACTGGCCTCCAATGATTTCTTTACACGGCGTGATAAACCACAGAGCGGAAGAAATGAGCAGATCGTGCTTGTGTAAAATGGAAAGAGATACCCCCTGGTCAATTTATTAGGTACAGCTGTTGCAAAAATCAAATCATAACTTTAGTGCCATGCCTTGTTGTTGCCAGAGGTCAGATTACACTGGACAGATTGGTTGGAGATGAGAGAAAGGGGAGAGGAAAATGATGAAGGCAACACTTTTTATCTAATGCCAGTTCTGCTTGGAGGTCAGAGCTTGAATCTGGAAGCAATGTTTTCTTCTAATTAAATAAGCTAACAATTTATTTTGGTGTTCTCTTGCTATACAACATATAACACATTTGGTGCAGCATGTAACTTTTCTGGTGGAAAGTCCATCACCTGTTTGACTCCATGCCTGGAATTTTCCACAGTATGGCATTAAACTTGTCTCCATAGAGACATCATGTGGAGAGGTGGACCCCCCAACAGAAAAGTTGCATAGTGCCCTTTTAAATGTGTATTATGTCACTTTCCTGGTAGAGGGCCTGTCACCTGCTTGTTACCATGAAAAATGTGTTGTTTTGCACTCAGCATTAAACATATGTATCTTTCATTTATTCAGTTACAGGGGTTTTTCTGCTCTAAAATCCATTCAGTATGCATTTTTACCATGACAGGGGTCACCTCTCCACAGATCTGACCAGTAACTTGACCTAGTTGTACTATGTGTTATTATGCTCTTTTTTTTAAACCAAGAGTTTGTTTTCATACCTGACAGTTTCGAAAGCTCACTAGGGGTCTTCCTCAGAGTGGTCACGTGATGTTGCTGTGACGTGTCTGGTCAGCTGATTTATTCAGGTTTTGGTGCTGTCCTTCTACTGGTGGAGGCAGGATGACTGCACCATCTGCAGTCTGACTTCCTCAGGACAGAATCCCAGGTGTGTGAGTAAAAAGGCCCCCTCGTCCCGGTTTATAGTCCCGTGGGCACATTTCTGTATTTTGATTGCCTCTTCAATCCAGCGACGGTGTTTGCTTTCCTCTGTACCATTGATGTTTGCTCCATCCCAGTCCATAATGTGGTTCTCTTTTACAGTGATCAGAGATGGCCAATTTGAGTTGTTCTTGCCCTGCTTTGTGTTTTGTTGCACGTGTGCACACCTTTGCTGTTTCCAGTTTGTTGCAGATGGCGCTGTTGTCCTGCCTCCACTGGTAGGAAGACAGCGCCAAAACCTGTACAAATCAGCTGACCGGACATGTCACAGCAACATCACATGACCAGTCTGAGGAAGACCGCTAGTGAGCAGTCGAAATGGTCAGGTATGAAAACAAACTCTGGGTCTAAAAAAAAAGAACCTAATAACATAAATGATCAGAAAACCAAATGAACCTCATTGGACTACTAGTTGTACTATGGCCAACAGTGGAACCTTACAGACAAAGCAATAACATGCCCATGGAAACAAGCAGGTGGTGTTACCTTCACCAAAAACTTTACATAATGCACCTTTAAAGTGGATTAAAGCATGAGGACACTATAATCTGTGCAATGTACTTCATCATCATCATACAGTATTTGAAACTGTTTCAACAAGTATCTAACAAAATGACCAGTAATCCACAACTACCACAAGTACCCACCTTTCTGTCGGACTGAACACCATATGGTGACGATGAGAACGCAGATGACGGTGAACACCAGCAGCGCAAGCACGCCCCCTATCACCGCATACGGTACTGCACTGTGGGTCTCCACCACTGCACCGGGATCTGTGGAAGAGCAAGGTGGACAAACTGAGTAAGTCAAAAGTTATACATTACAATTTAGTGGTAAGATATTAGAAGCAAACATAATTTTTTAATTTCAAAAGAAGGAGCCCAAACCATTGGAAAAGTTCATAGGAGAAAAAGTCAATATTCCACCCATCCGAAACTGACACTTTTTTTATCACCCCCCATTGCACCAATAGTTAGAAATAAGTTAAAGAGGAGATGGTTGAAGTGTCTGAAGGATTAAGAGAGTATGAACCCCATAGAAGAAGAAATAACTCCAACCAAGCAACCGTCCTGTCAAAAGCACAATGCATTTGGAATGAGGGGGAAAGATTTGAGCGTTACACCTCTTCTCTGCAGCCCTGGGAAAAAGGAATCAAAAGGCTCTCTGTGGGACCAGATAAAACGATGAAGAAAAAAAATACTTACGAAAAAACAAGTTAAGTTCTCAGGAAAATATTCACATCAGAGGCTTTCATGCCAACCTCTGCAGGCTTCAAAGACAAGAGTAAATACACTTAAAACTGCAGAATAAATAAAGATCAGACGTAGGTAGTGCTAAGTTCTGATCAAAATCAAGTTCTATCAACTTCTATAGCGTTAAATGTCATGTATTTATGGAACAAAGTGAGTACTTAGTAATGGATGCTGTTTCAAAATTGATTCAAGTTATCATTTTAGCAGTGTTATTCAGAGGATTATCTAAAATGCTTGTGGTTTAAACAAAAATAAATCTCGGAGACAGTTTGGAGCAAATTCTATTGATTAGGGCTGTAGTAAACAAAAACAAAAAAATCTTGGTTGATCGATTAACAGACTAAATAGGGGTGAAAAAAAAAAAATCTCAAAACTAATCATTATCTCTCTAATAATCCAGGATAATTCACCCAGACTCTGTATCTGACCCTAAACTACAATTATTTACTATTTATCCAGAAAAGTACTAGGAAACAAAACAGTTCAGTGTACTTATAAGTAAAAAGGCAGATTAAACTCAATATTCACTCCCAAATCTCCAGCTAACTCAGTCCATACCTTCATCTTTCTGTTGTTGTCCAATATACATCCTAATTAGTCAAATGATTAAGCGACTAAACCAGGGGCCCCAAACAACCGGTCTCTGGCACATATATCTTTATAAAAAAGTAATAAATTCTTTTAATCTACCATCATGGTTACTCTGAAAATATAGTGCAAATTAAACTAAAAAGCAAACGTGATTATTAAGACATCTTTTTAAAGCTATGGCTAAGAGCTATAAGTATTTTGTGAGGTCCCTTATAAGAAAAAAAAATTGGGACTGCTGAAGGGTAAACTATTAAATGACTAGAGTCCTGTTAATGATCATTCCAATGTAGCTGATTCTACACCTGAAAAAAAAAAAAAAAAAAAAAAAAAAAGGCAGTCCAGTGAATATGCGTTTTAGCTTAAAGGTGCACTGAGTAACTTTTCTGGTTACACAATCAAATGCTTTTCTCCATGAAGGTGCTACTGCTTTGTCTGGAATGTTTCACGTTAAACCAGACATGTCAAACTCTGGCCCGGGGGCTAAATTTGGCCCATGATATAATTATATTTGGCCCGCAAGATCGTATCAAATATGTATTAGAGCTGGCCCGCCGGCTACAGATACTATAGAGACATTATTGATTTAAAATGTTGTTATTGTTTTATATTATGCTTGTTACGGTTTCAATGTTTAAGCAAAACTATTATTAAAAATGTATTTTAATAAGAAAAGGTTTAACATTACATATCTCAAAGCAAGAAGCAAACAAGTATGGCCCACGATTTAGTCCCAGTTTTTAATTTTTTGAATTTGAGTTTGACACCCCTGCGTTAAACCACCTTTCTATCTTCATGGAGACCAACCCAGACCAAGTTACAGGTCAGATCTGTGGAGAGGCAACCACGCTCACAATCAGAATGCCTGTTTTTCTAGGTATTTCTGAGCTATAAAACCACCTGTAATTTAATCAATTTAAGATAGAGCTGTTTATTTGTGGAACATTACAGGCAGAACAATGACATATCCACAGAAACAAGCAGGTGACAGATTCCCAATCAAAAAGTTACATAGTGTATCTTTAAGACTCTTAAGAAGACTACTAGAAACGGTTAAAAGGATAAAAACGTTAAACAAAAGTGAGAGTCATTTGTGCATTTGGATAGTTTTTGGTCCAAAAATAAGGCATAAGATCCGCTCTGGCTGCCAAGAAGCACAGTTTGATCTAAGTGCAGCGAAACAAAAAGCCATTGATGGTACGTAACTACATTAAGGTAATATGCGCGGTAAAAGACAGCACTTTGAGTCAGGTATAAAATATATGGAGATGATTCATTAGAAAACAACTAAAAATGCTACTTTCTTTGAGCTATAGGAGATTAAGGGGATCAAGGACACAGCATTAAAGAGATTTCATTTAAAACCTAGATGGAAAAGATTGAGAATATATGAGCCATTTAGTGTTCACGTAAAATATCTGGGGACATGATGGAGGCCCAGAGGAGTCTAGACTCGAATATGTAAGTCAATGTAAAACCAAAGTCTATGGTTTGAACTTGATATTTGGTAATAAGTGTGATTTGAGCAGTTGCACAAAATGGCTCAGAATATCCTTTAAAGGGCACATATTACGCTATTCTCTGATCTGTGTTATAACGTAGTTTCCTCATCACAAATATACCCGGAGTTGTGTTTTGTTTCATTTACACATGTTTAACACAAACACTGCATATTTAGGCTATGTTTATATGATGACGGTCTGAATAGAAGAAGCAAAAGTGGCATAGCGTCTTCACTTTTTATTCCGTGTTTAGACGAGCGTTTTCGGAAGGAAATCTGCGTGCATACGGTGATGCAAAAGTGTGTGGAATTCGATTGGGTATGCATGCCAGGCGGTGATGCTAGGTGGTGATGTATGTGACGTAAATGCATATGCGACATGAGCAGATCTGACCAGAGTTTTGCGTCTTGGGCAGTGTAGGCGGAAACACTACGGTGGAGCATATTCAACTTTTCTACTCTGAAGGGTGGTTTCAGATTGTTGTGTTTTAAGCTCCATAAACGCCGTCACCATCTAAATGAAAGGCACTTCTGATAAAATATTCTGTCTTTTTTACCCACAAGCATGTAAACAGTCCCTTAGGCTGTATTCTTTTCTCAGACTGAAAACACCATGTTGTGATGTCATGTGGTAATACAGGAAGTGCTCCACTTTGCTTTTAAACTCCTTACATCTTCACTAGAATCATTTAGGTGATTTCAGAATATCTCTATTGAGCTTAAGGTAAAAGCTGTTAACTTAAAAACTACTATTACATGTCATGACAATGTAGAACAGAACATTTTGAGATCGGAGATGTAGACAGACTAATAATAAAGGATTACTCAAACATGTGTGAAAGAAACAAAACATAATTCTAACATGTGTTAAAGCTCATATGAACCTGCCGCTGGTGCTCAGAGTCAGGACTAAACACGAGGAATCAGCATTTCAGTTTTATGCAGCTATAAACGTCTTCCTGAAAATATGAGCCAGGCCTCTACTCTGACAATGTTTAATCGTGCACTATGTAACTTTTTGGTTGGGGGTCTGTCACCTCTGTGTTTCTATGGATATGTCATTGCTTTGCTAGAATGTTCCACAGTATGACATCAAATAGTTCTACTTTACATTTATTCAATTACAAGTGGTTCTATAGCGCAAAAATACCCAGGAAAACATTCACTCTCACTGTGGGCTATCTCTCTACAGATCTGACCTGTAACTTGGTCAGGGTTGGTCTTCATGAAGATAGAAACGTTTAATATCGTACTGTGAAACTTTCCAAACAAAGCAGTAAAATCTCCATAACAACAAAACATTTGGTGCACCCTCTACCAGAAAAATTACACACGCTTCTTTTTTCTGTCAAAGAAAATTTTAGAATGATTATTTTGGAGTTTTACTTACATATTTGAACTAAGAGTTTAATGGCCCCATCTTCCGTAACGCACTTTGAATCACTTTGTGCACACATTGTTCTCAAAAATTGCTTTGCCTTACCTTACCCCACAATAGTTATTTTACCGCCACTACTGACAAGAAACGAATAGAACGCTTAACGGCTTCTTGTGCAGAGTCTGGGGCTATTATCATCCAAAATATGTTCATTACAACCTGACATTTTCTCGCCCTGATTAGTCAATGAGAAAACGGATGAATACATAAAGGAAGGCTGCACTGGCACTGACAAATGAGATATAAAGATGATCCTCTGACTATTTTAATATCACAGTGCCAAAGAGCATTCGCCGTCTGCCTGTGATGTAATGAAAACCAGTGAGATGCCACTGGAGATAAGATCAAGGGACCCGTGATCTGTAACCTGTGATGGGAGAGGTATTCAATTTTGTTACTTAAAGTACTCGAGCAAAATAAAAAAACAATAAAAAAGTCAATTAAAAGTAAAAGTATAATATGAAAAAATCTACTTAAGTGAAATTACTTAAAAAATTATTTTACTTAGAGTAGAAAGGACAGATACCTGCTCTCAAATGTAGTAAATTAAAAGCGTCAGAATCAGAATTGATTTGTCATTTGAGTCCAGGTCATCAGTAGCACAAATAATAATAACAATAATTAGTTTAATATCTGATTTGTCAAACAGTTTTTAAAAGCAGCTCCCACCATTTTCTAAAGTGCTTTCCAAGTCAGTTCTACTTTGTAAGGAGCATTAGTGTCAGGGCTACAATGACAGAATTGATCTGCCTCACGGCATCAGATCAATTCTGTAAAAGTATCCACTTTAAAATTTACTTAAAGGTGCATTGTGTAACTTTTCTGGTGAAGGGTTTGTCAGATGCTTTTCTCCATGGAGATGTTACTGCTGTGTCTGGAATGTTTCAATGTGTGGTACTGAACTTTTGTATCTTCACAAAGACCAAACCAGACAAAGTTACAGGTCAGATCTGTGGAGAGGAAACCCCGCTCACAGTCAGAATGCCTGTTTTT